GGGGGTTGGAGGGAGGGAGAGGTCACGATATCTTCCGTGCAACGCAGCTCCATCCCGCCATGCGCGGACCCCGACGAGAAAGCCTTCTCTTTCCTCCTCTCGGCCAGCCAGCCAGCCAGCCAGTCAGTCCGTAAGTCCATCACCTAGCCAGCCGCCCCAGGCAGCCAAGGAGAAAAAGCTGCTCCCGCTGCTCCCCCGCTGCGTCTCGTTGGATTGGGTGGCTTGGGTGGATTGGGTGGTTTCGTTCGTTTCGGTTGTCAGTTGTCTGTACGATGGGGTGGGATGGGAGATGACGGGAGAGAGGAGAAAGGAGAGGAATTCCGCCGTTGTACTGCTTAGTTGTGCTGCTTGGTTGGATGAATGCGGAAGCGGAAGCGGATCCCCTTTTTTTTCGCCGAGCCGTTGCCTCCCCTTCCTCCCTCCCCCCATTCAGTCTGAGAGCAGGAATCCCAATTCATTTCATCCATTCATCCATCCGTTCATCCTTTCTTTCTTTCTCTGAAGGAGCGGGGTCCATGACTGAAAATCGCGGGACGAGATGGAAGTCCGTGAGGGCGAGGCTGTCTCTCTCTCGGCTGTCTCTCGTCTCGTCTGGTCTCGGCTAGTTGTAGAAGACCTCGGGCGCCTGCTCCGACTCGGCGGCGTACTTCTCCTGGATGGTGCGCGAGCGCCTCTGGTGGGCGCGGAAGACCTGGACGGCGTAGAGGGTGGAGAGGAGCATGGTGGTGCTGGATTTTTTTTTAGGTGAGTGAGTGAGTGAGTCTGGGTGGGTTTGGGGGGGTTTGTATTTATATAGATATATATAGATATGGATATATAGGGAAAATTTGAAAATTTAAGAGAAATGATGATGATGATGATGATGATGATAATAAAAAAGGACAAACACAAAAGAAGCGGGCGCAGACTCACAAGATGACGCTCGACAGGCCGGTCGCGATGTAGACGTAGATGTAGTTGTAGCCCTTGTCGGCCCAGCGGGTGGTGTTCATGTAGATGTTGTAGACGAAGGGGATGGACCACAGGGCCAGGACGGCGCCGTTGCAGGCGACGTAGATGGCGGGGCTCAGGTCGGAGTGGGTGTACATGGAGAGGTTGACGACGTTGGTGAGGAAGGCGGTGATGGCTGCGAGCATGTTGATGACCGTCCAGCTGGAAGGGGGGAAGGTGGGCGTTGTTAGTTGTCGGGCCGCGGGGAGCGTTGAGGAGAGGAAGAGGAAAAGGAAAAAGGGAAAAGGAAAAAGGAAAAGGGGATTTCAGCGTACGCTTGGATGGACGTGTCTTCGTCGACGGCCTGCATCGGGTCGTCCAGGCCGTTCTGCTCGATCCCGAGCAGGGCCCCGAGGACGACGATGTCGATGGCGAGGAGGGGGATCAGGAGGCTCCAGAAGGTGACGATGAAGCGCCGCTTCCAGGTCTGGTGCTGGATAAGCGAGCGCGTGTTGACTTTTTGCATCGTTTATTATTAGAAGGGGAAAGGGAGAGAGAAAAAGAGAAAAAAAAAAAAATAGAAAAAACGGAAGAAAAAAAAGTAGCAGCCCGGTGTGGTTCCCTCTCCTCTTCTTCGTCTCGCGTCTCGCGTCTCTTCGATTTCCTCTTCGCAGCTCTTCAGGAGGTGACCGACGGGCAGGTTCGACAGCGGAAAAAGCGATGAGCCAGCGGGAAGCGTCGCGCGGGCGAGCTTTTTCTACAAGTACTGTACCGGTAGGTAAGGTACCGGTACTTGAGCCATGCCCCAAGCCAATAGCTCTAAACCTTATCTCGCCTTTCTTTTATTTGCGAGCGTGTGGAAGTATTTACGGCTGCCGCACGATGGGGTTACGTAGTGCTCCCGCGGGGCGGCAGGCAGGCAAGCATAAGCATCTGGGCAAAACGTGGAGAGGAGGAACAACAACAACGACAACGACAATAAGACAAGACCTTAAAATTCGTTGGCCCGCCCTCGACGCCAAGGATAGACGCCAACGCACCACAGCCCCCGTCACGGGTCCCCCCGCTCTGGAATCTTAAGGGCCCGATCGGGAAGTTCGGATGCAGGCGTGCTCCGATCCGATCGTAGCGGCGGCGGGCCACAGGTGGCAGTTGTACTGTAGTAGTAGGTACTAGGTACCGGTAGTACCGGTACTAGTAAATGGTTATTTCCCCATCCCAGGCCCATCCCAGCCCATCCCAACCCAAGCAGCCGGTAAGTATCGAAGACCCCGTACCGGTACTAGTACTCTCCCCCCCCATGAATAAATGTCGAAAGTATAATTTCGCAAGGGATCTTACCAGGGCTTGAACCAATCAACTTATAAGGATTCAGCTTTGAAAATTATCTTTGAGCCAGTATTTAGTCTATACAGTGGAGTTGACAGGGCTTTGAGCCATTAAGAAACCACCGCTCTATGATTTATGGGCCTAAACTGGGTCCGACATTTATTCATGGGGGGGGAGAGTAGTAGTAGTAGTAGTAGTACCGGTAAATGCACTGCATTCTTAGCCGCCCGTGATTGATTACCGAGCCAACGCCCCTCCCCTCCCCCTGCGAGCAACCGCGTTTATTATAAGTACGTAGTAAGTAAGTAAGGAGGGGGCTGGAAGCGCTTACTCCTCTTCTTTACTTAGCATCTACGTAGTACGTACAGTCCTTTTTCTACCGTACTACTACTACTACTGTACGTACCTACCGGTACTCATAGCGTCGGCCCACCCGTCCCTTCGACTCCCGAGCATGCCATGCCGGCCGGGGCACGTCTTGGCCACCAGAGCCAAGGGATGCGCTTGCAAGACAGCAATCTGTAGGCGCTACGTAGTACGGTACTTCGTAGAAGTTCTACGACTGGTACGGTAGGGACAGTACGGACATGGTTCACAGCCACTCTCGTCGCTCACCGTCGCCTGCCACCTGAAACCCTTTCATAAGAAGAAGAAGATGATGATGATGATGACCGAATCGCCCTTACCGTATTCAAGCCCATGTTTTTTTTTTTCTTTTTCTCGAAATTAATTTACACTCAACACAAATGACGTTATAAATCGCTCGTTAAAGCCAATCAGCCAGTCTGTCAGTCAGCCAACTCTATCAACTCAATCAACTCAATCAATTCAATCAATCAATCAAATCAACCAACTAACCAACCAACCAATCAATCGATACGCGAAAAAGTAAAATTACAGCCTCTGAATACGAACGACTTCCCCCCCTGACGGGGTCTTTCTTCGGGATCGCATCTTTTTTTTTTTTTGATTTTTTTTTTTCACATTTCATACTTCATATGTCATATTTCATACTTCACACTTCACACTTCCCACTTCTCGCGGCTCCCGTCTGCGCTGGTAGAAGGGAAGGGAGACGGACGGGGTGGCTAGCCAGCCAGCCGGTAACCGCGGGTCCGCGGGGGTGAGTGATACCTACCGGATACCGGTTAGGTGGGTGGGTGGGTAAACGCCTACCTACCTACCGTACGTAGGAGATCGCCGTCGCCGTCGCTGCCGAATACGGTCGGTCGGGAGGCATTCGAGAGGTGTTCGTGCCAGACGTGGATACCGGTATACCTGCGTGGTTTGGTTGGATTTGCACGTGGGTCATCGCGCGTCGGTTTACTTTGAACTTGAGATACGGTTATGGAAAAATGTATATATATATATATATATATATATATATATATGTATATATTG